CTCAGGCCCCGCCCCCGCCACGTCACGCGCCGCCGGATCGCGACAGCGCGCGCCGCGTCGGGACAGGACGCTTAGCTCCGCGCGCGGGGTTGCCTTGCGGCGTCGCTTCTGGGCCTCTGGGGCCCGCCGCGGCCTCAGGGATCGGCCGACCCCGCTCGGGAGTGCGGTCCCAGCGTCTGCGTGCACTTGGCTGCCCGTGACCAGGGCCCGGCCACCCTCGCTCTAAATGGCCCGCACAGCCGGTTCCTATGTGGCTCTTGGCCACACAGCTTACACAAGGAGCTCTAAACAGCCGCCATACCCTGTTCACCACCATCCCCTTCCCTACGCACCTTAGGAAGACACAGACCCAGGACCTGTCCTCCCACATTCACAGCTCAGCTCCAGCTCAAGTCCACTGAGGCCTCCACAGACACAGGAACACTGTTGTGCTTCTGTAGCCAACCCCCCCCCCGCCCCGGGGCTCAGGCTTGAGGACATTTTTCCATCCTCAACTTGTGTGACCCTACTAACATCCCAGGAAGGGGGGGGAGCTGCACCCTCCTGTCTTCCTCTACCTCTGGCTGCTCCTCCTCCTTTCCTTCTAGGGGTTCTTTTTCTCTGGTAGCTCTGGGCTCTTCTAGGTCTCCCGACCTCATGGGCAGCTGAGCCCTCCGACTTAGCTTCCTTTCCACAACCTCAAGCCATGACTCTCTCCTGGGACACGGAGTCATTTCCCCTGACAAGTGTTTACAACTGCACACCCTCTAATTCCAGACTGACCATACCCAAAGCCCTGCTCCCCATCACCCAGTGACGCAGCCAGAGATGGGCAGCACACCTTCCTCCTCCTGCCCCCCGAGGACCTGCAGGTTTTCTCATGGTTTTCTTCACTCCAGCTCTAGTAGCCTCCCGATCCCTACCCTGTTCCTTCTAACCCATCCCCACAGGGCAATGACTTTGTATCTCCTCTGCCTAAAAACCCCTCCGTTCTCCTACCTATAGACCTGAGACAATGAACCTTGAAGAACCCTCACTCGTATGCCCTCCTCATGCTCTCTGCTTGGACTACCCTCCCTAAGTGTGAATGAGAGTATGTGTATATTTGGAGTCATTAGAATCTGACCCTTTAACCCCTGGATCCCTTCCGTCTGTCTCCCTGGCCAGGCAGAGGAAGGACCGCGCTCACTTGTGTCACTCAGTGGCAGCTGGTCCACTTATCCCTGCAACAAATGCATACATGACCTGCCAGCATCCAGCTCTCTGGCTTTGCTGTCTCACACCCGGTTACAACAACCCGCTGTGAAAGCCCACTATGCAGCAAGCACTGAATTGGATGTTCCCCAATACCATCAGTGTTCCTCAGGACCACCCTGCAGGGCACATTTATTCAGCTCCATTCTTCAGATGAGCAAGCTGAGGCTCAGGGAGGTAAGGAGACTCCCCAGGCTACTTGCCTGGAGCTGGTAGAGCTCAGATTTGAACCCCAGTCAGCTGGTCTTAAAGCCTGCTGTGACTCCATGCTCTCTCTCTGCAGCTGTGAAACCAAGGATGGCAGTGGGGCTAAAACAGGTCAGGGGTGAGTAGGTGGCTGTTAAGGCCACCACAAGGAGTGGCAGGGGAGGGTGGGTGTCAGGGCAGAGCTGGGACTCAGGCTGGGTAGGACCTGGAGGTAAGGGTTTGCACCCTTTTGTGCTGTTATTCTTTTTACCAGAGCCAGCAATTGCAGCTGGACCCATGTATCGCTGGGCATCCTCACCCTCTCTTCCAGGTTTGGCCAATAACTAGTGCAGTGAGGGTTCAGAGCGCCCTCTAGTGGTCCAGGGTGTATTGAAGCCTGAAGCCCAGGCCGGGCTGGCTCTGTGGAGGTGGCAGGTACTGGGGCTCCCACCAGCCCCACAGCCCTCAACCCCCTCTCTGGGCTCTGCACCACAGACAGTCCTGGACCCCATCCCTATACATGTTTCCCTGGATCAGGCTCTCTGTTTCCCTGTCTTTATCCATCTCCATTGGTTCCGTCTCGGGGCCTGTCTCTGCCCATCACCTGGTCTCTGACCTAGTCTCAGCCTAGTTTCTCCTCCTCCCTCAGTCTCTGTCCCAAGGGAGACAGATGGTGGGCAGACAAACTGAAGAAACAAAGTAGAAGGGTGGTATCTTAAAAAGAACTCTAGGGTCAAAAGATGCTGAGACCTGAAAGGTTAGAGAGGACAAAAAGGTTGGGCAGCAGAGTCCAGCCAGGGTGACCTGAAGGACTGTCCTCTGCCCCCAGCTCTGTGGCAGTATGTGGGGCCTGCCGGCCAAGCAGGAGCAGAGGGAAAGCAGGAGCCACATTCCAGTGGGAATGTTTCAGGTCCTGGTTCTTAATCCCAGGAGGGGAAATAGATTCCAGGAGATGGGGCAGGAGGGTAAGGCCCAAGTAGGTGCCATGCTTTGGTGCTGATAGAACCCATCAAGGCCCCAGGAAGGGTCCAGCCTGATTACTTGCCTCTCTAGCCCCTTCACCCCTCCACTACCTCCCTCCTCTCATGCTCAGAACAGAGCCTCAGCCAGGGTACTTTACAGCATCCAGAATATTTTTATTGCCAGAATCAAGGTACAGCCTGCTTAGAGCTCCATGAGGGGCCCACCATCCAGGAATAAAAGGAGAGAGAGATGCTGGGTATGTTCCCAAAGAGAAAATCCAGCTCCACAGAAACCTGGTGGGAGAGCAGCCCAGTCTGGCCCGACTGTGGCTCTGGGGTCCCATCCTAGAGGCTAGACTCGAGTCTTGGCCTACAGCCATCGCCCACTTGGAGATGACTGCCACCAAGGCAGATCCAGACTCTCCAGCCCTGCTATCATAGGAAGATCCATGAAGCACCTCTGGAGCAGACAAAAAACTACCCGGGGAGCCCCAAGCCACCTGGCTCTCTCAGGGGCCCACTCAAGTTTCTGGGCTAGTCTCTGCAGACTAAACACCAGTGAGCTGCCTGGTGGGAGTAGGTGCTGGGCAAGACGGGCAAGAGCCCTACCTCCTCTCAGCCCTGTGCCAGCCCACCTGGGTGCTAGAAAAACCCCAGGGCAGGGTGGTAATGTGGTGGTGGGGTTATCAAGAGGGCAGCTCAGGGTACCTCTGAACGGCCTTAGCTACTTCCTTGAGTTTTCTTCATGAGTACCTAAAAGGCTATGAGACTGGGCCCTGCTCTCATCCTTGAACCACAGTCCCAGGGCAAAGGGAACCAGCATCAATACTGTGGGTAACAACACAACCAAGGGGAATCAAGCCTCCTGGGACAGCACCTCCAAGAAATGGAGGGCCACCTGCTGCCCAATCCCGAGCTAGGCTGTTCTTGGAGGTGAGGGAGGTAGGAGTGAATGCCCCAGGACCTGGGAACCACGGAGAACACAACTCACCCCTGTCTGCAGGAGGAACCAGGCTGCCTCCAGAAAGCCACAGTCAGGCTGTTAAGCGACTAGGCCACGGGGAAGCCAGCAGCTCCAGCCACTCACAGCCAGTAGCAAGCCTACCTGTGGCCAGTTTATGGGAAGATCACCGTAGGGACCAGAAGTCCATCCCTGGGACCTTTAGGGACAGGGACCACAGCTCAGTAATAGCCCTCACAGGAAGACTGAGGGACCAGGGCCTGGTGGGTGAGTGTGAAAAGGCCACAGGGGTATGAGAACAAATGGCCCCTGAGTTCAGGATTGGGGCGCCAACCCTCCTGCGGAGCCAGTCCTGAGGTCACAGCAATTCCAACAGCAGCAGCATTCTTTCCAGCAAGGATCCCCCAAGTGAGTCCAGACTCTTTCTTCCTTCCTCACTCCCACAGAGGAAGGACAAGAAACAGCACTTCCCAATGGCAGACGTGTCGCAACCCGAGACTGAGGACCTGAGGCAGTCAGTCCCGAGCTGCTGAACTCCCGGACGGCGAGAGCCCAGAAGGACAAGAGAAGCGGCCGTGGCCAGGCCGTCCCACAGCCCTGCCCGGCGCACGGATCAGGGCCCAAGGAGCACACGCTTCAGATAGGCCAAGGTGGTGGCATTGGCCAGCATCTCTATGTGCTCGCTGCCCGGCAGCGCCTGCAGAGACACTGGCTGCTCCTGGCGGCCGCGCCAGGCCCGGCACTGCAGGGCGCTCTGCAAGTTCACGGTGCCGTCGCCGTTGCCAAAGCAGATTCTGGGCTCGCGGTCCGGGAAGCTCTCGTAGTAGAAGGAGTCTGGCGTGGGGACCCCAGTGCCGTAGAGGCAGTGCAGCGGCACGCCAGGTGGCGCCGTGGCTTCGACCAGCCCCTCCGTGTCCTGCCGCATGAGCCACCCGTCTCTGAAGCCGATGTCCTGGAAGAAGCGGCGATAATCCCGCAGCGTGTAGTTGGTGGTGGGTGTGCGCACGAAGATCTTGCCGGGCGACCAGGCGGAGCTGTAGGGCAGCAGCCAGCTGGTGGAGACAGCAGACCGCTGCTGCTCCCGGATCTTCAGGGGCCCGATGACCGGGATCCGATTGTTGTCTCCTGCAGGGAGAGGGCTGGCTCAGTCTGTGCTCAGGAACGCAAGCTGCCGCTGGGCCTCTGTGGGGCCCCGGGGAGGGGAGGGAGGGGCCCAGTCAGCACTCCAGCGCCTCCACGCTGTCACTGCACCTCCCATGTTCCCTTTATTTTTGCTCCATCTGGGAAGCACACGACCAGGCCTTGTTTCTTTCCTTCTGCACTTCATCACCAGGGATTTAGGGAGCACATACCCACAAGGTGATTCACTGTGTAAGCAGTACCCTCCACTGAGCGCTTGTCACCAGGCTTGTGGGCACCGACCTTGCTGAAGGTGAATCAGCATGTTGGCAGCCCACGGACACATTCCTCTTTTTCTTTGCTTACACGGAGTTATGAAAATGTTTTTCTTTTCCTAGGCTCAGTCTCAGGCCTGCCGCCAGCCAGCCCTGGTCGTATCCCACTCATCGGCCTGTCACTGACCCAGGCGGCCAGGCCTGCAGGAGACGAGGCAGGAGGGGAGGCTGCAGGCAGAACGAGAACCCTTCTCACACAGGAATGCCAACCACACAGCCAGTGAGGCCTCTGGGGAGTGAGCTGGAACTTGGAAATAGGGGCCGTCTGATGTATTCAGGACCCACAGCCACCCATCACCCCACCTCTCTGACTGACCACAGGCCTTCAGCTCTTGTGGGGTCTGGCTGTAGGACCCCTGAGGAAAAGGAAGCCCCTAGTTAGTCCATGACTACCACCCCCTTGTCAGGGCCTGCCAGAACAGTTCCCCAGAATCTGAGGCACAGCTCTAAGGGGACTCACAGGGAGGCTCTGAAAGGCTGGAACCTGAGCCCCACCACAGCTCCTGTCTCAAACTCAGGCATGCCCCCATCTGTCCTTTCAGGTCCAGGCTGGACCGAGTATGTGGCTGTAATGAGTCCTCACTGTATCTGGATTCACTGTCCAGCCAATCCACAGTCACTACACTGAGTCTAACGTGATGGCAACTATCAGTTGACCAACAAGTAGGTCAGGCAGTGCTGATGATATGAGGAAGAAAACTCCTCAGATGCTTAGCATAGCCATGGCTCATGGCTCCCAAAGTAAGGGGCCGTGTGTTCACCCCCAGTCCTAGCAGAGGGAGGGAGGAAAGCCTCACGGCTACAGCTGGCAGGCTCTGACAGTCATGAAAAGGCAGGTGAACTGGGGAGGAACGGGGAAGGAGGTGGCTTTCCCCCCTGCCAGGCAAGCAGGCCCAAAGAAATCTGCACCTGCTTCCTCCCTGCATTACCCACAGAGGCTCCCCACTGCCACAGATGGAGGTGTAACTCATAAACAGGAAACTGTAGCCCAACCTTCCTTCCATGGGGCAAAGGTGGGCATGAAGATAGGGAGAAGGCTCCCCCAAAGAACTCTGGGTCAAACCAAGTTAGGCCAGCCAGGCCAGAGCACAGCCTATGTGTGTACACACAGGCACAAGTACCTGTGTGACCAACAGCTGGGCCAGTGCGTGAACACGCTGGAAAAAAAAATGTACACAGATAACCAAGGACACCAACTAGAGAGACGAAATTAAGTAGCGTTAGGCTCTCTTTTGGAAAAAGAGATGTTTGGAAAAGCATACCGCTCTGGAGAAAGAAGGATCCTCACCCAAGAGAAAAGACATGAGGCTGCCCAGGAGGACACTGCTGAAGGAAAGAGAGGGCACCATTCCTGACACAGCAGCCCCCACATCGGGTAGGTCAGACAGGGTCTTACCTGAGGCCAGGACACGAAAAGTCTTGGCCACGCCCCCCCAGGGCGCACCCAGTGCCACAAACGCATGGATGTACTTGTTCTTCCAGGCCTGTGGCTGTCGCTGCAGAAAGTAGAGTGTGTACATGTTGCCCATGCTGTGGGCAACCAGCACCACAGGGCCCCCATACAGCTGGTGCATCTCCTCGATCATCTCCCGGAGGGCCAGGAAGTAGGGCCCGTTTTCATCTGTAGGCCAGAGCCAGGCAGTGGTCAGGAAGGAAGGGTCCTGGGGCCTGAACCACTAAATGTTCTTCAGGCCAGATCCAGGACTAGGTGGGTGAGGAAAATGCTAAAATCTAAGTGGGAATGGCCTGGTTTCCCCTCCCTGTCCAGGAAGGGAGGAAACCTAGGAGCTCCTTTTCTCCTCCTCGGCCTCATTAGCTCTCCCCAGGGCTCAGAGGCCCAGAAATCCTGGGGTGAGGGATGGGGAGGGACAGAACAGATTGACTAGGGGGTGACAGCTGTGACCGCTGGGACAGACACGAGAGGCCCTGGAGGCAGGGGAGAGCCCAGGGCCTATGGTGGCTGTGACCTCCTCGTCCCCACCTCCCAAGATGTCAGGGAAGAAGCAAGAGTGACCACTTACTTGGGGCTCGGCGCCAGTCGTAGGGGGCCCCCCGGACATCCTCACCCCGTGTGTAGCCCCAGCCCACAAGGCTCTCTACCATGGTGTGGAAATAGGAACCTGCAGACAGTAATGTATGGGAATTGGGGCGAGTATAGCCAGTGCCTGCCCCCAACACCACGCCCAACAAGGAGACTGTGACATCTGCTGTGACATCTGCTGTAGAAGATCCCCGAAGGAGTGCTATAAGGCTCAGTGGCTACACTGCTGAGACAGTTTACAGGCTACCCTTTCAAACTAACAGCATTTCTCCCACTCTGGGAATATAGCAGAACTTCCAGCTCCGTTCCCTGGAGGGCATGAGGAAGGGCTACATACCCACACTGCTTTTGCTGGGGTCCAGGAACTCCAGTGAGAAAGTCTTCCCAAAGCCAGGGACACGCACATCCACACCATCTGGGAACTGGGTGGCCCGGGATGTTCTGTTGTAGACCAGCCTATCAGGGGAGGATATTGAGTTGATGATCCAGAGGTGACACTGAACCTGGTGTGTCCTAATACTGCCCTGTGTTTTGAGTCATATTCCCTTACTATCCTCATGTTTGGCAAGTATAGGGGAGACTAAAAAGTAACAAAGCAAGTTTATGAAGCACAGATCAGAGTAACCACAGCCACCTGAGACCCCAACCAAGACTCATTCCGAAGATTAACCCAAGGACCCCCGTCAAGGCAGTATTTCCTTCTCAATGTCATCCATCTCAGAACGCAGGTCTTGGATTTGGTTGGGAAATTGGCTCTGCCATCCACATCACACCTGACCCAAAGGCAGTCAGCCTCATCTTGCATGCTCCCACTGCCCCATCTTTGTGGATTCACCTCCTGCCACCCAACACGACACAGGCAAAGGGGAGGGTAAGTGTAGCACACAACAGAACCAAACAGAGCAACCCCCACCCTAAGGCCCAAACACCTGTGGCTGCTATGTGGATGGACGGATAAGTCCTGGAAGATGATGGGACAGGGCGGTGGGAGACAGGAGGAAGGCTTTGTGCTAGGCCGGGAACCCTGTTCTGGCCTCCCTGATACCAAGGAGACAAATGTGCCCAAGGAAACACAGGCTAGACCTGTGATCCTTGGTGGCCCTGAGTCCTAACCCCCTAAGATCAGCCACAGAAAGCTGACAAGATACCCAACGTTGACCCAAATAATAGGTCCTGGGGTCCCATTTTCTCTAGGGCAATCTGTGGAAGAACCCAATGGCCACTCAGCAAAGTGTAGAAAACTTTCTACAAAGCCAAAGCAGCTCTAAACAGGTCAGATGTCCAATGAAGGTAGACAAGCCCCTCTCAGTATCATCCCGAACCTCCCATTGGCAGTACCTGAGACCATGTCTCTCGTATAAAAATAGAACTGCAGATCAACAGCCCAGAAATAACCCTGATCACGTACAGAAGAGGAAAAAGTCAACAAAGCAGATGTCATAAACAACAGGGAAAGGCAAGGCACCTGGAGAACCAGCTAGTATGTCTCCAGGAAAAAAATTTAATTTGTGAGACTCCATTCAGCTCAAACATTTACTGAGCACCAGTTGTGTTCCTGGTTCTACTGCTATAAAGATAAAAGAGAGACAACCTCTGTCTTCAGGGAGCTGGGTCTTAGCTCAGGGTCACACAATCTGGGTTTAAGTCTTGGTTCTGCCACTTATTAGCTAAGTGACCCTAGGCAATTTTGTAATCTTTGAGCTTCCAGATTTCCTCATCTGTAAACAGGGTTGAAAACAGTACCTATCTCATAGAGTTGCTATAAGATTAAATGAAAGAAAGTATATAATATGGACAGTGCCTGTATTCGATAAGCAGTCATTCCCAGAACATTATCTTATTAGCAGGGAAACATCCTTCAAAGCAAAGTTTGGCACCTGATAAGGATGAAAGGAAATAGGCATGTGGCCTGGAGGAAGGAAAGGTTAAGAGCTCTGGGGAGTGGCAAGGGAAACTTTCCAGAAGGACCAGGCTCAGGTTTTAAAGGGTGAATGGGGGGGGCACCTGGGTGGCTCAGTTGGTTAAGCGACTGCCTTCGGCTCAGGTCATGATCCTGGAGTCCCGGGATCGAGTCCCACATCGGGTTCCCTGCTCGGCGGGGGGTCTGCTTCTCCTTCTGACCCTCTTCCCTCTCGTGCTCTCTGTCTCTCATTCTCTCTCTCTCAAATAAATAAATAAAATCTTA